CCCGGTGCCGATTTAAATAGGACCACAAAAGGACAATGTCTTGTCCCGTCCCGTTTCGAACCGTTATTATAAACCAGGTTCAATACCCGGAGAACCCAATCCCTATTCCATTCCAGACCGTGTCCATCCCTACTTGTGAGTGATATATCCTTTATATTTACCTAAATTATTGTAATTAAAAAGTTATCATAATTAAGGATCTTCATTATCATACGGTTTGCAGAGGAAGAGTGAATAAGACTTTTAGAACTAGATAAGATCTTTTATTCTTTTCTATGAGCTATGCCTCAATCTTGAAATATGAAAGAGTGGCAAAGATTTTTTTTGATTCATTATCCTAACTAAAATTTCATATTACCGCTTTCAACCCAAAAACACAAATCACCATGTAGCCAGTGATCCGCTTTTAATGACAACATTGCTAATGATCGATGACTTGCAATTTCCTGACAACCAATTGAACATATCCCTACGAATAAATTTTCACCCTCGGTGCCATGATCAATTGCCCCGAAGCTTAATGATCACAGTGACACTACCACCATCGCTTAGGAGGGTGAGGAGGAGAAAGACATGGAAAAGGAGAAGGGTGAGGAGTGCAGGGGAGGGGGGGAGTTTTAAATTCCTAAAATAAAACTACTCATCCATGTCTTTCCTCTTTCCATCCAATCACCCCTCAATTTTTGTGCAAGCACTCAAACAAAGCTTTATTTTAGTGGCGCTAATGGCCCCCACTCCAATGAATTCACAGGCACATATTGCAAAGACGAATGACAACTTCTTAGTTGAGTCCTCTTTCATGATTCTCTTCTTCGAACCTCGTTCTCTTTTGCAGTGGATCAATGATCAGTAATGGGAGGGATGTTGGGGTTGGACGATGGAGCCGTGAAACTTACTCTTTTTCCTCGCCTCCAATCGATGGACTTCTCCTGGTGAGCCCACGTGTGACTTGTAAGCTTAATTACTCGATAGTTGGTATATTCTTGAACATCACTCTTACTCTTAACTAAAGAGATAAAAATGCTCTTCCCTTGACTCACTAGTTTTTTTCAAATCATGTTTAATGAAATTGTTTATCATTTGACATTTTTCTCTCCCTATCTTTTCAAGGCCTCAATTATGCCATCTAGCCCCACTACTGTCTTCATCCTCATCTTTTCCAGTCCATCTTTCACTTATGTCGTTTGGAACCTCCTCATAACATTTTGATTTACCATATAATCTCATTTTATTCTCAATGAAAAATCAATGTATCAAAGTATGACCTCCACCCTTTTTCTGCCTCCACTATTACAGTAGTACACTTTGATTTACGTTGTTCACACATTTAACTTTTCCGATATCTTACATCATAAGATCTCGAAGAAATTCTCGTTGAAATTAGAATTCAAGAACAATTCTCGATTGATTATTTTACTCAATTCAAACCGCTTATTCAACATTCAAAATAATCAATGTTATATACAAATATCATTTAATCCAAACATCTTAACCCAAACAGATGTCTTAATCCAAACATGACTTAATAGAAAAAGTAAACAAGCTTGTTGGGTTAATGGCCCAACACAAGATTGGGCCATTATCCTCTTAAGTGAAGAGCCTCAAGGCCCAACAAGAAAGGAACACCATACGCTCGTCTCCAGGCTCCAAAGCCCATCAGGGGCAGATACGTCTCGTGTCAGGGACGCTCGACCTCAGAAGCCCTAGCCATCAAGGTTACCCAGTGCACTCCAGCATCCATTGCCAAATGATAAGTAGGGGTCGCTCGACTTCTACCCTTTATCCACCACTAAGGGAAGGTCCAGGGTTCAGAGGGATGCTCGGCTTCTGCCCCTCATCCACCACCAAGGGAAGGTCCAGGGTTCAGAGGGACGCTCATCCCCAAACCTTGGGCGAGAAACCCAGATTCTGGCGGAAAGCGCATTTAATGGTGAAAATTTTATGGTTGGGATCCTAGCCATCCACAACCCTCCACGTCAGCACATCTATCCACCCCCTAGTGATATAAATAGTAGAATTCATTTCATTGTAAAGGGATGACAACTTATTCTCCCTAACATTATAGCTTATAACTTGTATTTTCAGCTCTTAGGATGTTTTTACTTGGACTGTAATTTGTCTGAGACCAGATCAGACCAGACCAGACCAAATTAGACCAAATCAGACTAGACCGGACTAGACTTGGATAGTTATAAAAATACAAAGAAACCAGACCAGACCAACAAATTACAGTCCAAGTAAAAACATCTTTATTTAGCGAGAAAGACGACCAGCCTCAGGCCAGGTAGCGATAGTGTGTTGTATACAGACCCTTATTAACATTTAATAGGATGCAACCCACTACTGAAGATATACTTTAACCCATCTTACTTGTTTGCACTTTACATATTCATACACTCTTCCACTCGAAATCCTTGAGTTACGTGTTCAGCCCCTAAATTGAAGGAATAAACCTCAACAAAACCCTTAGACTTGAACCGCACCAGCTCAAATCCACGTATGTTAAGATGGACAATTACACATTTCTAATACTCTCTCCGTCCCATTTGTTTTTGCCAACTTTTCTTTTTTGGTTGTCCCAAAAAACTTTGTCACTTTCTCATTAAAGCAACTAATTTGTGGTTCTGCACATTTCTCTCTCCTCTGCACAAATCTCAACCACATAGTTTTTATTATTCCTATTTCTCACATACTTTGCACTTGGCAAAGTCCACCGGAACGGAGGCAGTAATTCATTTTAAAAAAAAGTACTCTAGTTATCATTGTTTCGTATCCCAGACCAGTAGAATCTCACACATAATAGGACATCTTTTACATGAATAAAGTAGTTATGATGTTTTCTTTTGGACTGTTTTCAGTCTCAGGCCAGATCAGACCAGACCATATTACACCAGATCAGACCAGATCAGACTTCTGTAGTTATAAAATACACAGACACCAGACGTTTACCAGACAAAACCAGATCAGACCAGACCAACAAATTTGAGTCCAAAAGAAAACATCCTAACTGATTGGAGGAATATGACTTTAACATTGAACACAAGATATCACACAACCAAACGCTAAAGATTTTATATTAAGGCTTTGTTCGGCACCAACTTTCAGCTCTTAATGGACTGAAATTATTCAAGTTCAGCTAATAAATTAAAAAGTAGTCATGTTTGGAAAGAAGGCTAAACTGAGCTGAAGCTGGAAAATATGGACTTATTGGAAACGTTTTCATGCGTAGCGTTGCAATGCAGCCCATCCAATAATGTACTTTTGTCCCTAAATTAACCCCAAGTCAAGAACAAATCGGCGGCAGTCCATCCACCAGCCGCAAAATTCTCCGGCTTTCTAGCCCCAACAACATGAGGTGGAGTTTGTAGATTAGATGACGAGCAATCCGAATGAGCAAATGGGTTATGAGCATGGTGAGAAAAGCGGGGTAGTCGGTGGTGCAAGGGAGGAGATGATCCTGCCCCCCATCCAAACGATGTTTCCTGGTGAATTATTTACTTTGCTCAACTAATCAAGGATGATAATATGTGATGATTGCAATATTTCTTTTAGATAGGATACTACCCGTCAAAGTTGCAATTTCGTCTAAAAAATAATTACTCTTATATACAACTCGTATAATGTTAATGGAATTCCCAAATGTTAATATTTATTAAAGTATAAAAATCATTACAATAATTTATTTTTAATAATATATTTTATGCCCTTTAATGTAATTGTATATTTTCCAGTCATCCTTCCAAATTCAGATTCAGCACTTCAAAGTTCAGTTTCAGACAATAGTTTCTGCTTCAGACAATAGCCCCATATTTCAGACATTAGTCATTGATGCCCAACGGACTGGTCATTGATGTCCAACGTTCAGGTCCATTAATTCACCATTTACACACAACAAATTCTCCTATATAATGGCTGGCAGGTGGTTTGCAACGACACACGTTCTTACACGAATTCATACACTCCATGCACGTTTTGCACCTCTAAAAACACACTGCTAGTGAATTGCCAGTAAAGATCGTTGTGACAAACATAGTCTAAAGCTTGTCAAATTTCGGTAAATATCGTGATAAGATAACAACATGAAAAGAAAGAAGTAGAAGGATATATTAAGACCCGTTTTGGTAACACCCGAATAAGATGTATTTGTTGATTCTGCTTACATTTATAAAGTTTAGTTGAAGTGACTGAATTTACTAATTCCACTGATTTATGAAAAAAGTTATATTTAAATATATTTTATTCATAAAGTAAAGAAAAAATCATATGAAAAAACTACTAAAATGATCATATACAGTAACTTAAGCCAATATCGCCAGAAAATTAAAGTAACTCTAACCTTACGTTTTCTTATTATTACACAATTCAGCACGTTGAATCAAGAGTTATGTGCTTTGTGAAAAAGTTGTTTGGTAAGCCTCATCAGCCGAAAAATAGAGTAACCAAACGGGCTCTAAAAAGTTTTTTACACAAAATATTGTGTATGTGTTTATATAATCACTGTTATGACATGTTGTCCTCATTTCATAATTGTACCTTTGCCACTCTTTTACGCCATTATTAGTTTATTAATTATTAAGGTGCTTTAGAAGTTTAGGTAGCAAAAGAAAATTATTATCGGTGCTTTATTAGCAAAAATGATATTATTATTATTATTACCATTTTTGGAGTCCGTTTGATAATAACAAAATCGTCTGAATTGGCTAATTCTGCAGATATTTATGAAAGTCTGGCCGAAGTGGTTGAATTAGTTTATTCTTCTGATTTTAAAAAATAAATAAATATATTTATTAATAAAATAAATAAAAAATTATATGTAAAAATAGTCAAAATGATTATATAAAGTAACTTCAGCCAACACAACTAGAAAAATAAATTCAACGCACGCTACCAAAAATTATGTGTTTGATGAAAAATTGGCCGATAAACCCATTAAATCGAAAACGGATCACCTAACAGCCACTTATTTATAGGCTGAATCTAGTTTTGGATTCTAACCCATCTTGCAGGTTTTTGTAGTCACCAACAAGTATACGGAGAGATGGACTATTTTCCTGAAATTAAACAGATAATTGACTCACCTTTCACCTATGACACCCGAGATGGGCAATGTGCCGTCTGTCCCTCTTTCCTCCAGGCAGCCAGGCCATGACTCCGTTCAGCGCGAGTTCACATTAACAGCGATTTGAAGCTCCGTCTGATACTCTGATTCACGTCCCGGCGGCTCGGAATCTCTCTGTTCGTCCGTCTGATTCACGCCCCGGCGGCTCGGAAATCTCTGTTTGTCCAAAACCTCCAGTATCGCCTCTCGGAATCCCGGATGTAAACGCACTAATACGAGCACATACACGCGCATGTTTTGTGGGTTTGTGCAGTGTTGTGGCGTGCTGTAAAATGCGCCAATGCCTCAGTTTAGACAACCGGGGTACGGCAATGGCGGTGGAGGATTCTCTCGAAACGGAGCCTCGTCGGATCACGTACCGATTGTGATACGGCCTTCTGCGCACAAGCAGCAGCAGCTATCGCGGCATGCTCATATCCGTAGGTTGAAGGGGCGGCAGATCTCGATTGGCTGTCTCGTCGTCATCCTCACTGTCGCTTTTACCGTTTCCGTTATTGCATTTCTCTATATCACTTCGCAAAGTAAAGGTAAATGAGAGCTCGTAGATGTATCTTGCCAGTGCAGTACAGGCTGGCGTAGCACTGTAGTGCAACTAGCCAACGAAGGGATTTAGCTGGTTGTGATTTTAGGATACTTCTTACTCGTATTATTATAATTAATTATTATTATTATTGAGTATTAGATTGGCGAGATTACTTAGATTAGGATCCGTAAACTTTTAATATCACTAGATGAGTGATACAGTAGTAATATTTTCTCACTCAATGAGACTCCCCTTTCTGATAAAGTTACCGTTCCTTTTTAATCATAGTATTTGTCAAACCTACTTTTTCATATTAATTTTGAATTTTGTCATTACATTTATGCATGTCAAATCTCTAAGTGGAAACTGTGTTAAAACTTGTAACATGAAGATGATTATTTCAAGTTTTTTGTTCTTTTTTTGCATGCAGCTGTGACACCATTTTTTGTACTGCCTATAACTTAGCTTCTTGTATGCAAGGCACACGTTTATTAAAAAAGAACAAATGGTCAGTTTTTCTTAAGAAAAGTATTTTATTAAAAATTTCTAAAGTTTATGATTTTTTGGATTTGTTTGACTTCAGATGATTAATCCATGATTTATGTTGGGGTGGCATCTTGAAAGCTATTATGTTTAGAAGTATTGGATTTTGGGGTTTGATAAGTATTCACATGGTTCTTATCTGGCTCCTCCCCTTATAAATAGTCTTTTTCTATCTTTTTTCTGGTGCAGACTTTGATCAAAGTCATTCTCAGGATGACACTAATGAAGATAACATGGATTTTCTTACGAATGTGACACGAACAAAAGGACACAAGGTTCACTTTGGACATGGATCATTTAAACTTGGCAGAGATTCCCAGGATTGGGACAAGGATGACAGAAGAAGAGACAATGATTACAGTGAGGAGGAGTTGGAACGGAACCGTAATGCCACTCTGGATATGTCCCAATCTCCTCCCAGGGGAAAGAAGGGTGATGAGAAGAAGTCTTCAAGTTCTGAATCTGTTATTGGTTTGGATCGTAGAAGGGAAGGCTTATACAATGAAGCTGGACGTGATGAACTAAAAGTGTATGAAGCTGAGTATCAGGCTTCGTTAAACAGTATAGATCAATCCCACGAAGGAAACAACTCGAAGAACCACCCATCTGATATTACAGATAATGGAAAGAAGAGTGAGATAGCAGGCTTTGATCGCGCCGATACAAACACAGAAGGATATGATGAGTATGTCCATGAAGATGAGGACTATTCTACTGCTGTTACCATGAATAAAACACATTCTTTTGATAAACATGATGATGGGATCAACAATAAAAATGCCGAAGATGCTGGAAAAGTTTCTAGTGCTTTGTTTAATGATGAGTCCTTTTTGAAGTCTCGGTATTTTAAAGGTTCCACAAATTCAATACACGACAGTCAATCTGCAAGAACTGCATCTGAAAAACAACCAGTTTCAAGGAAGAGGTCAAAGAAACGTAAGTCCACTATCTTTTGCTCTATCTTCTACCTGTTTGTACAACGTGGCTTGAATCCTATCTTTAGATATTGTCGTTCCTGTTTAGCTTCTTATCATATCCACCCCTGCTTACTTAAAAGATATTGATTTACGTATGTCCATATGTGATAAAGAAACACATGTGCATAGTGGTTCCAAGTGTCATATTTATTTGACTGTGAAGAAGCTGCAGCTTAAGAAGAAAAAATTCTTTCACTTGGTGTTCAAGCACTTTTTGATACATAATGATAGTTTACAACTTGGCAATAGTAAGGCTTTTACAAGATTTCTCTTGGACCAGCTACTAGTTATGGCCTTGGTAAGCTGTTTCGTCGCTGTTAGGGAAATGAAAGGAGGTTGTCTGGTTGTGATAAAACAAACAGAACATGGTGGATGGTTAGGAGTGGGTTAGGAGTGTTAACTGTTAAGTGTGGGATGGTTAGAACTGGTTGTGTAGATAGTTAGGTACCATGAGAATATGAGATGGTTTTAGTTTAACTGGTAGATTATAGCGATTATCTTTAGCATAGTCCACGAGTTTCAGTCTTTTGTTAGCAAACTGGGACTGAGAACGGGTCCAGGGATGACTTGGGGTAGTAGGGTACCCGTTTAAGGTTGTAACCTGCCTGCTAGGGTTACACCTCTTCTTGCCTGTGGCTGGAAGAGAGCAGGGGGAGGGGGAAGTCCGTGACTTCTCTCTGGGAATAATTCTTCTAATGATCGATACCTTTATTATGCTGAATAAAGAATATAAATAGACATCCTGCCTTTACATGATAGAGTTCTAATCTAACAGAAACTGTAACCCTCTAATACTTCTATTCCTAATAGGAAATTAGGAAGTAATAAATTAAATATAAAAAGAGCATCAGGATAAATCCCTCTTCAAATTAAACTCTTCTAATTAAACTGTTCTAATTAAACTTCCCGCTGGTTCCATAAAACATCCGTAACATCACTCCCTCCCTCGAAACTGAGCTTGTCCCCAAGCTCATATCCTGGATAAGCAGTGATAAAAATGTCAAACGGCTCCAAAGTGACCTTATCTGGTGTGCTGCCTTGCCATTGAACTAATAGTTCCACTTATAGCGTTGGCAGGCAACTCCAAGTCTGGGAAGCCATCATCTTCTACCAGCTCATCTTCTATCTCGATCAAGAAAAGCTTTTTGCATCGATAATTCATCATCCGCTGTTCATCACAATTATAACACATGGGATGTCCTGCCCTTGTTTTCATGAGCGCTTGTCTAAGCTGTGGCGGACTGCATTGTTTCATATTTGTTGCAGTACCAATGTCCTTGCAAGGTTCATTGCATAACCCAGGTTGCCTGGTTTTTCTATCTCCACATCAGCCCGTAAGTGTGGATGGAGACTGGCGACAAACAAAGCAATCTGATAGGTGGACTGTATTTTTGAAGTTCTTGCTAAGGCCTTCTAAAATTGGGCACAATACTCATCAACTGATCCGGTCTGCATCAAAAGTTTCAGATCTCCAATCGGGTTAGAACTCAAAGGGGGCCCAAAGCGCTCCAGACAGAGTTCTTTAAACCTCTCCCGGTTGACTTCTCCTTCTTCCTCTATCATCTGATCGAACCACAGTTGTGCATTGTCTATCAAGTGGAACGAGAGCATATTCATCTTTGCAACACTAGGAGTTTCTTGGTTCAAGAAGAATTTTTTGCACCTTTTCAAATTTCAGCCAACTGGTAGGGTCGTAGCTGCCATCAAACACAGGAAATTCCATCTTCACATACTTTGGCTTCCAGGAGTTCGAGGTGCTGTGTGATATCAGGCTGTTATTGGCTTGCTCTTCAATTGTTTCTGTTGATTTGGAAGCCCGTTGGTGGACTGCCAGAGATAGAGCGACAATCTGCCCTTCTATGGCGCCATGGCGGTTACCCTAGCAGTCATAGCCTCCATAAACTCCTTCATCATAGTGGCTAAATCATCTTGCGGTGGTGCCATGGATCTTGATGGCTCTGATACCAAATTGTTAGCAAACTGGGACTGAGAATGGGCCCAGGGACGACTTGGGGTAGCAGGGTACCCGGTTGAGGTTGTAACCTGACTGCTAGGGTTGCTCCTCTTCTTGCCCGTGGCTGGAAGAGCGCAGGGGGAAGGGGAAGTCCGTGACTTCTCTCTGGGAATAATTCTTCTAATGATAGATACCTTATTATGCTGAATAAAGAATATAAATAGGCATCCTGCCTTTACATGATAGAGTTCTAATCTAACAGAAACTGTAACCCTCTAATACTTCTATTCCTAATAGGAAGTAATAAATTCAATATAAAAAGAGCATCAGGACAAATCCCTCTTCTAATTAAACTGCTCTAATTAAACTTCCTGCTGGTTCCATAAAACATCCGTAACATCTTTCTCATTTCATTTGTACTTTCAACATTGTTTCACATGAAATACAAAATATCTAAAGTCTTCTTCCATATTGAAGGGCAGCTTTGTAATTCTCAAAGTGAGCTGTTCCATAATGGTCACTATATTTAATGGACAGGAAGTGGAATTACCTCGATTACCAATGTGTGAATGTATTTCTCAAAGTGAGAAAATGAAATTCTCTCTCTCTCTCCCCTCTCTTCGCCTTCTTAAGTTCCTATCTTTCTCCTTCAACCTATTTTTCCATCTTTTACTGCATTTTTACATATATTTACACTGACCAACTAGGCAATCAGATGCTACTCCTTCCGGGGATGGTTTCCTTCCTTTGATTATCAAGTCTTAGTTTAGAGATGATAAGGGTTTGTTTGCAATCAATTAAAAAAAGTGATTTTGGCTTTTTTTCAAGAAAAAAGCACTTATTTTCCCAAACACTATCAACTTTTACTTCCTCGGTTTTCGTGTAGAATCTACTTTTTACTTTTTCTATTACACAAAAAGCACTTATTTTACCAAACACTACCAACTTTTACTACTAATCACTTTTTCCCAAAAAGTGCTTTTATTTAAGCACAAGTGATTGCAAACAGAGCCTAAGTAGCTCCAAGGACACCAACTTTAATAATAATAATAATAATAATAATAATAATAATAATAATAATAATAATACATCCGTCCCACTAACATTGGAACGAAAGGAGGTGGCACGGTTATTAAGAAAAGTGAGTTTATGTGGTTGATATTGAATTAATAAAGTAAGAATGAAGTAAGAATGATTTGGAGCCACACAAACTTTACCAAATTTGGTCTGGGACAATCTTAGTGGGATTTCCCGAAAAGGTAAAATGAGACAATCTCAGCAGGGCGGAGGGAGTAATAACAATATTAATAAGACTAATAATGAATACAACGATAAATTAAGAAAGGCAGTGACACACAGTTTCCTATCAGTGCAGAAAGCATTGTGGGCCATGTCACACGGCCAGTGTTTGCATAATATTGGGTAATCTAAACCCTTTTTTCTTACTACTAAACCCCTTTTCAAGCGCTTAGTGTTTTCTGAATAATCCCCTTTCAGATGTTGAACCCTTCATATTGTTCTTTGGAAGTTTCAATTAAAAGCCGTGCGTTTTACAGGTCCTTGCGAGATGAAACTGTTAAATTCTTCTGCACTGCTCGTAGAACCTTTAGAAAGTCGAAAGTTTGTAAGATTTTCTTTACAGTACACTGAAAGTGAGGAAAAGTCTGCTGAAGATGACAAATGGGAGCCAAGATTCGCTGGGCATCAGACTATGGAAGAAAGGGAAAAATCTTTTGTTGCACACAATCAAAAGATCAACTGTGGTTTTGTCAAAGCCCCTGCAGGAGCTACATCTACAGGCTTTGACTTGGCTGAAGACGATGCAAAATACATAAGCAGCTGCCACATTGCTGTCATATCGTGTATATTTGGAAACTCAGATCGGTTAAGGATGCCTGCTGGCAAAACGGTATTGTCTATAATCTATATTACCTTATTCTCACTGATTTCTATACGATGCTATTTTTATTAATTCCCATTTATTTGTGCTAGTTTCATTTGATTCAGCTTCCTTATCTTGTGTAAATGAGCACAAGGTATGCAGAAATTTTGCATGCAGGACAAAAATAGGCCTTATTGTTTGAAAGGTCACATAAATATATGTTTTTAACTATATGTTTACTTCATTGCAGATCTCTCGAACATCCAGGAAAAATGTTTGCTTTGTTATGTTTGTGGATGAAGCTACGTTAAAAGCTTTCTCATCAGAAGGGCGTATGCTGGATAGCATGGGTTTCATTGGGTTATGGAAAATTGTGGTTGTGAAAAATTTGCCCTACACGGATATGCGGAGAGTGGGAAAGATACCAAAACTCTTACCACATAGGCTTTTTACTTCAGCCAGGTGAGAAAATGCTTATTGTTGTTTCAAAAAGGCCATGCAGATAGTTTTTATGCCAATATTCTTAAAATGATTTATTCACTAGCTAGAGTCCATCAAACCCTGAAATTTATTTTGCAAATAATGCCTACCAGTAAAAGATGACCTGGCTTGCACTCACATATGTGTAGTTGTATATAATGCGATTTCTATGACTAGCATTTGACACCATTCGATAAAATTTGGATAACAATTTATATCATTGGCTAAAATTATGACAAGAGATTGCACATTTTGTAACTTGGAGATTGGGAAATCATGAATATCGGCTTTTGTTTGATGCGTCATACTTTATCTTTGTGGCCTTTTTGACACTGCATAGTTTCTTGAACTAAAGAGCAATGCCTTCCTGACACCTGCAAGTTGTGAACGGGGTTAAGAAAATGGGGTCTGTGTCTATGCTGAGACAGTGAAATAAACTCAGAACAAGTGTAAAAAGTTTACCTTTTGGATACTATATCTGCACTTGTTTCGACCTGCCTTCATCTGCATATATGTTTTCCTGAAATTGTTGTAGAGCAGAGTATTCCCATATCTTCTTCATTTTGTGCTGTGTGTTTCTGGAGAACTTGTTCTATGAATGATATCTGATTTCAGCTATGTATTTTTCTCTTTCTTTGTCTATCCCAATTGTTTCCATCTTGAATGCCCTTAGGTATTCAATTTGGTTAGATAGCAAGCTAAGGCTACAGCTTGACCCCCTTTTGATCTTGGAATATTTTCTTTGGCGGAAGGGGCATGAATATGCTATTTCCAATCACTATGATCGGCACTGTGTTTGGGAGGAAGTTGCTCAAAACAAGAAACTAAACAAGTACAACCACAGTATTATTGATCAACAATTTGAGGTTTACAAGGCTGACGGACTTAAAAAGTTTGATATATCCGATCCTAACAGACTTCTTCCAAGCAGTATGTATTTTTCTACTTCAACTATGTCATAAAGTTTTCTGCTTTATTTTGAAGTAACCATATTTGTGGTCTTGGCAGATGTACCTGAAGGATCTTTCATTATAAGGGCTCATACGCCAATGTCCAACTTATTTTCTTGCCTCTGGTTTAACGAGGTTGATCGCTTTACCCCTCGTGATCAACTCAGTTTTGCATATACGTACTACAAGCTTAGAAGAATGAACCCTGAGAAACCTTTCTATCTCCACATGTTCAAGGTAAGCAAACTTTTGCTAGATAAACTGGAAAAACGTAAACGTCAAGGGCATTGGAATAAAAACTGTAATTAAGGCTATTGCAAAGTAGTGTTAGTGAGTACATAAATCATAATAGTCTATCCCCTCTGTCTTTGTGTACTTTCTTTTTAATCATCATCATCATTACCCCAGTGCCGCAAAGGCTTCCAGCTATGGCAGGGTAAGGGGGGTCAGATGTACGCAGTCTTACCCCTATACTAAAGCACAGAGGAATTGTTTCCGGATGACTCATAGTGAAAATCGCGTCAAGAATTGCATGGACCGACTGCTGCTGCTTCATAACAAAGAAGCGCAGACAGTTTAGTGAGCCGTTTTGCTTTATTCCATCATATTCCCAAGCCAAAAAATATTGAGTCTTTGGCTCAATTGAAAATGATGGAAAAGGGTACTTTCTTTTTTAATGAGGTAATTTATTTTCTAATTATAATCAATTGGTAAGTGCTCCATAGGATTTTGAAAATTATTTTACATCAGAAGAACTATGTCAATACTACATACTCAGAGATGATTCAAGTGCAACTATTTACAGATTTTGCTTCAACTGAGGCTATCAACTTCACCTGCCAACCTTCAATCCTTCATCTTATATCATCCTTTGGTTACTTTTTTATGTGATATGTTAGTGCATAGGGATATTCTTTAGAAATGAGGTCATGTGCAACTTGAGGAGCCGGATTATTTCCCAATGCTATATAGGGAATTTGGATCCAATAAACTGGATTATGTAATGAAAAATAAAAGATTACACTATTGCACATTTCATGAAATAGAATCAATAGATAATATTAAAAAGCATGAACGAGAAATGCATGGAATGAAATGTGAAAGCTGAAAAGAGAGAACTTGAAAGTATACAGGTGAAGTAATATGTTCCCCAAATTATGTTGCAGCTACTCATTGTCATCACTAGTTTTGTGAAGCGTGCTATTTTTCTCTGCAGGACTGTGAAAGGCGAAAGATAGCTAAACTGTTTCGTCATAGATCCGATGAGAGGAGGAAGATCATCTCCCAGCATGAGATGGAGTAGACTTTGGAAACATACCAAGTTTTGGTGAATATTTGATTGATTGATTCGAGCTGGTGTACAAAGACATGCCCAGTCTGCCCCTATTAATTACCTGTAATACCTTTTGTATAGAGCCAAACCCATTCCCAAAGATATGCATTTCCGGAACAATGGCTTTTTTACCAGCTCCCCCACTTTTAAAGAAGATCAGCGTTGGAAGCTTGGAGCCCTCATTATGGCTCTTAAAGTTTCAATTCGTTTGCCTTCAGCCTACCAGGTCAGGAGGAGGCACTCCATATCTCCCCCGTTTATTTTTCTTACGTGTAATTAATTAAAAATTTGTTATATCTTGTTAGTTGTTACATTGTATTTTTTCTTCACTCCGCATAAACCCAGTGTCAAATAGTGATAGGCTGACTATTCAAAGGTGAGGCGCAAAGTTATTTGAGCTTTTGTTTGATCAATGATCTGTATTTACTGTGTGCTGATGTCTCAGTTCTTTATCTGTTTTACAAAATGCAAAATGCTGAAAAATTCTTATTCATGAGGTTGTAATCAAACTTATTACAACTGAAATGGCCAGCATCAAGTTAACAAAAAACAACTTACAGTAAACTTAAAACTTATGTATACATAAGTACATAACTAGGGGTTCTTAAATAGAATTACTAATTTTCTTCTTCTAAATAATAGCAAAGTAACGTCATTCTGAAATTATATTGTTATTACCCAATACATATGTATATATTTGAAAGAAAAACACAATACTTCTAATAGGTAAAAAAAATTGCCCATCTATTTTGGGTATTTTTTTTATATAAATATATGCTTGAAGTCGGGGTGCTAATCGAGTGAGTCGAACTTGAGTTTGGGTTAGTTCCAGTAAAAAAAAAATATAGCTTGATTTGCCTTGGATTTGAGTTTTATCTATTCTGTAAAAGGATACATATATTTTAAATAAAGTGTTTGATTTGTTATGACATTTCAACGACACATACATTCATTAACTTTTTGAAAACATTAAGTCACTCTTATAACCCCCATCCGTCTATATATCATTCAAACATTAGAGTTCTCTTCGCCATTTATAATTCATTTAAGCGTAAGAGGAACTAAATCTTATTAATCTTGCTAAATCTATATGAACATCTTGCATAACACTATTAGAACATTGCCCAAAACATTAAACATATGATTTCTAGTACATTAATCAACATGCACATATGATGTAATGTCATATGTATGAATTTAAAAAATCAATATCAACATATAATCAAATAGATTCTGAGCTTTTCAAGTCGTGTAACTTGAGCTTGGCTTGGTTTACTTCGAGTCGAATTCGAATACAAGTCAAGTACAAATTAAGTCGAAGTAAGATTGAATATGAATCAAGTCAATCTCGAGTCATTTACACGCCATCTTGTTTGATCGGCACCCCTAGTTGAAGACTTAGAAGTGATATTCATATACTAAAAATTAGTAATATATATTAAACATATATATTACTCATTACACGCATATATAAGTCCGTGTATCAGTGTGTGCCTATCACAGTAGTTAATGTTTGTAAGCTGATTGGTGGCAATGTACAGAAAGTCAATGCCTATACATATAACTTTGTTACAAAATACAAACCATATCATCTTGAAAACGTGAAAGAAATTGGAATACATTTGCATCGATATATCTTGAGCAAAGAAAACGGGTTGCGTATCCAAGACTTAAAAACCTTGTCCTTTGCTGTTATAACTTATAACATGAAGCTAAAAATTCATATCCACATGGAAATATTTAATCATGGACTAATAAAACTTTTACTGGACTGGTGAAGGGGATAACACATTCACTGGAAGTCCATATTTAATATCTCCCTAGTAGCATTACTTTTGGTTTATTATTATGAATTTGCAAGTCTTGTGGTAAAAGATGAAGCAGATGAAATAAAAGTACCAATATCCCATGAAATCAGAGTTTACAAATGTAAAAGAGAAAAAAAAAATCAACAATATCCGATGCCATGCACAACCAAACACACTGATCCTCGACCTGATGACTGTATGCAACAAAAATTTCAACAATATGTCACTTGCTGTCCCTTTGTGTAGAGAAACTATACAATTCAATGAATCACTTACTCTTGGGGTCAAACAACTAGGTTCAAACGGTAACGACCTTTCCATCTTATTGTCGTCCATATAAGTGAACACGCCAGCCAATAAGAGATGATCAGCAGCTTCACTTCCATCACGAAAAAAAGTATAGGCATATAATGGAGCTTTTGTTTCTTGAATAATGATCTATCGCATGGTCTCTTGACGCTTAAGTGGAATGCCTTCAATATCATCTCCTTCTATTTCTTCATACTTGGGATGTCGTGACGAGAAGGATTGTGATGACACTGCAGTCAAGAAAGAAGAATCAATAACCAATTTAAGAAGTACTAGAGTATTCACTAAAATATCAAAATTATAAACCTTCATTGAAGTCTTTAGTTTTGTGAAGAAGGAAGGTTCCTGACAGAATGGTCACAAACCCACAGAGTTCAGTAACAATTTGAGTCGCATATTGCCCGCTCCAGTCCTGTTCCGCAAGAACGATACATGTAATTCTATTAAATCACAAAAGCCTTCCAGAAAAAAGATCTAAATTTTAAAAAATAACAAATGTGTAATTTGGAACTTGGAAGTATGTGGTATACCTTAAACATGATAACGCTGGCTAGAATTGTTAATGTAGTAAACATCACATAGTGTATAGGAGATACGACAGAAGAGTTGAATGTATCAAGAGCCTGCACTTGTCCAGGAAATAGACGAGTTAATGAGAATATTGAAACTTGAATTCCATCTATAAGGTCAAGGTCTGATTTTGTATTCTTATTTGGCCAGTTTGGTATGGCTTAACAAGTTCCCTTAAAATGATGCCCCGTCGAAGCATACCAATCTTGAAATCTGTGTGCTTAGTGTTGAGACTTACTAAGATTGAATTGCTCATTACAGCTAAATACGATACTATATAAAGACTTGGGTTGAATCCTAAAAAGGTTAACTTAATATGAGAAATAATTCAATGTCTTCTATGTGATTTCTACTTATGCAGAATAGTTTCAACAACAACATCTAAGCCTCCCAAAAGATTTTGGGGTCGGCTAACATGAATCAGTCCATGATACTGGAGTCAAAAAGAAAAGAAAAAAAAAGATAAGGTAAGATAAAAGGGATAAGATAAAAATAAAATAAAAAAAGATAAATATAAGATAAAAAACATCGGAAAGATAAAAACAACATAAGAACATAAGAAAGATTAAGAAGATAAAAAGAAAAGAGAGAGAGAGAGAGAGAGAGAGAGAGAGAGAGAGAGAGAGAGAGAGAGAGAGAGAGAGAGAGAGAGAGAGAGAGAGAGAAGAGATCAATCTTTCACACGAAAATGCACCCTCCACTTATGCAGAAGGGAGTTGCAGGTAGGCCAAACAAGCACTTCACAAGAACGGGGTGAAGCCAATACAAAACAACATTATATAAATATCAAACTATTCTTTATATATAGGCATAGATAATTAAACGTAATGCATTGACAAAATATTTACAAAAATATCACATATTTTCTGGTTTCACTCTATCTTGTATCACGACGCCCTCACCCCCACCAATTGGACACAATTGTTATGAAAAGGGAAATGAGGTGCATGCTACCTTGTTTAAGTAGTTCAATTGCGTCAGCAAGCACGTCACTACAATTAATGCAAAGACCCATGTCTGTGGATACACTAATTGATTTGTACCCTCAAATGTTAACTTCAGTGCTATTCCCAATGCCCTAACACTCATGACCTGCAAATTGTGTATTAGCATTAAGATAAATGTAATATGAAAGGGGTTTTCTCACAATATTACTAAAATACAACTCATGGACAAAAATATGACTACATGGTCACTGTGGTTAGTGGAATATGCCACAAAGGTCACTTTAGTTTCAAAATGACCATCGTTATGGTCAGCAGTCAGCAGTCAGCAGTCACTGAGAAAACACATCATAGTCATTGTATTAAATTAAAATCACATTTTTTGCCTATTACTTTCTAGACTTGTAGTTACATAGTTTTCACTTTTCAAAATGAAATGGTATTAAAATATTCAAGAAAGGAAGAAGAAATCCAGGGAATTGCATGGCAAATGAAGCAGCGCTTCTTTTCTTTCTTTTTAGACAAGGAAAGATTACTAACCCCAATCGAGCCCACAAGTGAACAAACTCCAACATACGCAATTATATGAGTTTGCCCATACTTCGGGAGATAACGAACAATGATTATAACTACTGATCCTACTACCATAGCTCCATACAACAGGAATCCTGTAAAGGAAAAAACAAATACAGTTTTTGCAGTTCATAAATCTAGCAAAAACTCAGCAGGAAAACATCTTACAATACAAAATCGCTTAAATATGTATTTAATTACTGTAAGTCTGTTTTGCTTTGTTTTTCTCTTTCAAATTATATTTTACTCAAAAAAATGCCCTAAATAGGGTTTAACACCATGTCATATTCCAAAAAGTGATATGCCCCCCCACCCACATAGGAGTTACTATTGCCATGCTTGGAAGTTGGAACTGCCAATGTGAGCATTAATACTACTGCTATATTAATCTTTGGTAATGCCAAACTATGGTATATGGTTTTAGGGTGGTATTAATTTAGTCCTATTTTTGGGAAAGAAAATATAGTACTACTTTGGAATATCACATTGTTTTACTCCTATTTTGGGAAATTTCCCTATTTTTGTTTTCATCCTTGTAATTTAAATCGTTTCTTCTTTGTCCCTTGCTGACTCTTGAGCAACCTCTGTTTCACAACCGAATTGACACGTTAACAAAATATTGTCTAATTTTTACTTCATTTCATTTTAAAAATGCTTAACTTTCATTTCTAGAACTTTAGATACTTATATCAAAAGAGTGAATTATTAGTTCTATTATCCTAAACTCCACTAATAATCTCCATAAAGTTGACATGAAAATTTAGACTTGAGTAATGCAAGTGATATTTCTTTTTTCTAAATGGAGATTGCCAGAGATAGAATGGGGCTAGAAATAAAATAGATGCATTACAGAATCCAAAACAAAAAATGTTTTTTCTGCATGTAGTAAAGACAAATTTAAGCCATATACATTTGAGCTATTAAAATGAAATATTTTGAGCATATTGCTCTCATTGTCAATATGTACCTGGCTCAGTTGCAAGATCCCAGAGTTCCTTCACATTCTCAATTTCACGCTCTTGCGGCGCATGCATTACTATGATGGTTGAACCCACAATGCACAAAACACAACCAACAACACCAAAAATGTGTAGTCTCTCCCCTAAAAACATTTGTGCGAGTATAGCACTGCAGGAAGGTATATTTCAGCTACTACGCTACAGAAACCAAAGGAAAAAAACAAAGACTTCCTAGTCAACCATGCTTGCCTGATAATAATACTTAGTGCACCAAGAGGAGTTACAAGTGTAGCTGGAGCAAAAGCGTAGGCAGCAAAATTAGCTATTTCTCCAACAACCACTGCCAA